TGGCCAGGTGGAGCGCCAGTAGCGAGGTTGGGGACACTAAAGTGCATAATTACAACCGCGCGACATTTATCTCTCATTACCAGTAAGTGCTTTATCTTGGGAGGGCAGGAGTCCCCCGGCCGCGTGCCGTGTAGCGGCCGTCTCTCCCCATCACCTGGCCTCAGGTATTACACGGCTCTTCTCCTCCTCTCCTTCTTCATTGGCTGCAACTCCATACGTTAGTGCAGCCTCGTAATCCTTACTTCCACTCCTTCACCAAACTTATGAAAAGGGTTTATTACTTTAAATAAATTATATATATATATATATATATATATATATATATATATATATATATATATATATATATATATATATATATATATATATATATTATACTTTATTTTAAGTAATAAACCCTTTTCATTTGTAAAAGTGTACATGATATGAAGTGTTCGGCAGTGTTCAAGTGAATAACTTTACTTGTGTTGTGGAGTGTTGTTGGTGCAGGTCCAGGAGGAGGACAGCTAACTGGGTCAGGCTGCACGTGGCCTTCACACACACCTGACTCCCTGCCCTCCACGCCCTCCACACACACCTGGCTCCCTGCCCTCCACGCCCTTCACACACACCTGGCTCCCTGCCCTCCACGCCCTTCACACACACCTGGCTCCCTGCCCTCCACGCCCTCCACACACGGTAATCGTCTGCTGTGTTGGTCAGCAGCTCGTACTGTAGTAAGAGTGCTTGTGAGAGCAAGGAACGGGTCATGTCACCCGTTCCTCTCTCTCTCTCCCACTTCCCTCCCTCCCCTCAGTTACAGCCCCGCTCCTGTACCAGCTCACAGTTCATTACGGGCTCGCCATAGCCCGTGCTACTTGCAACTTTTGATTCCCAGTAGCAGTATCTAGGTTCCCAAGCAACAACAACAACATTCCTTTATCCCATTGCCACGTCTCCCCATTACCCCCCCCCCACCCCTTAAATACACTATCATATATATATATGTTTTGCCCAATATTAAACAAAGCCTAAATAATTCCTTTCAGGTTCTCTCAGATAGTGTTGGTGAGTCATATACTCCTGGTCATAAGAGATGTGTAGGCTTGTGTGGTGTCAAAGTCACTGTTTGTAAAGTTGTAATATATATAAATATATAACCAAACTCTCACAAGTCGAGCCTGGCCTCGGGCCGGGCTTGGGGAGTAGAAGAACTCCCAGAACCCCATCAAGCAGGTAGAAGTTGGTGTAGAGGTGTGTGGGGTGCGGGCTGGCACATAGTGTGTGGTGTACACTACTGCACGAATGTCTGCCTGACATTCCTGCTGCTGAATCAACTGGTACTCGCGAGGCCGCTTGATCCATTCACCATTTTCACGGTATATAGTACTTGTGTGGTGTAATAATGTGTGCGGCAGGCGGGTCATTATCGGCGGCTTCTTCTTCTTGTTTCAGATTCAGCTACTGGGAGCAAAAGTTCCAAAAGTAGCACGGGCTATGGTGATCCCGTAGTGGACTTGCCTGGCACAAGAGCGGGGCTGTTGGTGTAGTGCCTGTCTGCGTGCTGGCACCGCTGGCACTGGGGTGAAGGGCACACCGTCTAGGTGTTACCCCCTCGTTTACATACCAGCGAGACTAACCACACTAGCCAAGAGTAACGCTGAATCACTTACGGTGACTCAAGGCGGAGCCAGCGGCGTCCTGGGTATGGTGGCCGCTGGGGGCAGCCGTCCACAGCCCAGGCGCACCTCCACAGGAATGTGTAGCCAGCGTGACGGCACATAGTTATTATTAATGCAGTTATTCTCTATCACTGTCCCAGGTGTTCCAGCGGGAGGTGGTGGGCATGGTGTGTGGTGCAGGGGAGGTGGTGGGCATGGTGTGTGGTGCAGGGGAGGTGGTGGGCATGGTGTGTGGTGGGCATGGTGGGTGATGCAGGGGAGGTGGTGGGCATGGTGGGTGATGCAGGGGAGGTGGTGGGCATGGTGTGTGGTGGGCATGGTGGGTGATGCAGGGGAGGAGGGAGTGCAGGAAGTTCTTGACAAAGCTGATATACTGTGGGTGTGAGAGGTGGTGTACCCGGCATCAGCCCCTCGCCATCCCTGTAGCCTCACCAGTGTGTGCAGCCTCACAATGTTTTTGTCTTCGCATTTGTGGAGGTGTGAGGGCGTGTGATACCTGGTTGATGGGGTACTGGGAGTTCTTCTACTCCCCAAGCCAGGCCCGAGGTCAGGCTTGACTTGTGAGAGTTTGGTCCACCAGGCTGTTGCTTGGAGCGGCCCGCAGGCCCACATACCCACCACAGCCCGGTTGGTCCGGCACTCCTTGGAGGAAACAATCTAGTTTCCTCTTGAAGATGTCCACGGTTGTTCCGGCAATATTTCTTACGCTCGCTGGTAGGACGTTGAACAACCGCGGACCTCTGATGTTTATACAGTGTTCTCTGTGCCTATGGCACCTTTGCTCTTCACAGGTTCTATTCTGCATTTTCTTCCATATCGTTCACTCCAGTACGTTGTTATTATACTGTGTAGATTTTGTACTTGGCCTTCCAGTATCTTCCAGGTGTATATTATTTGATCTCTCTCTCGTCTTCTTTCTAGTGAGTACATTTGGAGAGCTTTGAGACGATCCCAATAATTTAGGTGTTTTATCGCGTGTATGAGTGTGTGAGGCAGACACGCCTCACTCTTCACAACCCCGCCTCATGGTGCGTGTGCTCTTGGTCATGAGAGGTTGTACACGGTGTGTGGTAGTATTGTTGCCGTGTGTTAGTAACACTTCACCAGTGTACATTCTAGAGCTTGTGCCAGCTGAACAACTCACGCTAAAGCTTCGTCGCCAGGGAGGTCGAATATCGACTCAGCTTTGTTTTGGTAGTGAGGTCGCTGTTTGTGTCCACTCGCGTTCTTTACTTAAAAAAAAGTTAGGTTGCGGAGAAGTGAGCCAAAATATTGTTGTAGGTCAAGCATGTAGAGCACTGGTTCCCAGACTGGCCGTGAGGGGGCCCCTGGGGGCCCCTGGGGGCCTCTGTGCCACATGTAGGGAGCCACAAGTTGAGGCAGTGTAAAGGTTATGCCACCAGACTTATTTATTATTAACATCTTTATTGACAAAATTAATTACAATTTTGCCTAATCTGAGGATTTCGATTAAGTCTTATTACAGTGAGGATAATGCTGGTATTCACCAGATGGGACCTTTACGGAGTGTAAGGGGGGGGGGGGCATTAACAAGGCCGCTATATAAAAGAGGTAATGGCCAGGTGGAGGCCACCATTTCGTCACCATTTGGTCCGGGAGACATCTCCCGTCACGCAGGGTGCAGTTGCGCCTCCACAGATCTCCAGTATCTCTTGATACTGGTAATGGCTCAAAAGGGCCACCACTTACGGGCTATTCATGCCCGTGCCACCTCTTGGGTGGCTTAATCTTTATCAATCAATCAATCAATCAATCAATCAATCAATCAATCGGGTGGAGGCAGTATCGCCCCGGCTGGCGTGTGAACCGCGGACCACTCACCTGGCCACTCTCCTATTGACCTCGATCGCTCATTCATAGCAGCAAATAAATAATACAACCAGATCACGGGAGACCATTTTCGTCTGTGCTGAGAATGTGTGTCAAGGCAAGTAGGATTTCCCACGATCACATATATATTTTCTTATCGCAAAAATACCTTAATTTCCTCTTTTAGACCTCCACCTAAATTTACATGGAGGGCAGCTTGAGAACCCCCTCTTATAGCCAAGTGATAGGAGTGATGTATCCTCTAGAGATGAATGAACCTGTGGGCCGCCAGGGACCTGTCTCCTCCGATTTAATATTTTTGGGAATTTATTAGAGATATGTATATTTAACCTAGAGCAGCTTAGATCTATATAAAGGTTAGTAGTGAACTGCTTCCCTGATCTATACGATGTGTTACAGAGTTGAGTACAGGTGTAAGCTGTGTTCAGAAAAAATATGATTTGAAGGGTCGATGGACAGTGAAGATGATCTATGAGCAGGTGAAGGATGAGGTCTAGCAGGTGGCGGGTTTAGTGTTCTTGGCGGGGCGGCTCCGTCAAGGTCACCCGCCAAGTTGTGTTGACAAACCCCGACATTGACAGCCACTTATCCCACCATACACACACACACACACCTCTACACTGCCTGCACGTCTCGCGTGTAAACTGTATCCTTACACCTCCAAGTGGAATGTCACACAAGTATACCCGTCTCAGGTATACACAAGTCAACGCTGCCACTGCAGTGAGGTATTTAATACAGTAATCCGCCCGTTGTTTTAGTATTATTTTGTTTACATTATAGGTATCGGGAGAAAGTGCTAAGCCAGCATAATTATAGAGAACCAGTGTGGTTTAAACAAAGGTATTTGGTTACTAATATATATATTGTCAACCAGTTTGGTGGTGTTGGTGGTGAAGGTAACTTTATTTAGAGGCCGGGGCTGGCTGGAATACACACAGCCTGTGTTGGTACCACCTGCTGCTCACTTGGACACTTGCCAACACCATGAAACATAAGTGTAACTAAATACTTTTATACTTGTCTGACAAATATACTTTATCAGTCTTATTACTTATTGGGTCTGTTTACATAAAAGTTTCCGGTCATTATATGAAAACTGTGTTAAAGAATGGAGAATGTACCTTAATCGTAGAGTTAACACTGGTGGCGGCCGCGCGGATTCTTAACATTCAATTTGACATATAATGTGCTTATCGCCGTTGTCACGCGATATTCTTTCCGAGTATGTTATGATGGTAACCGCTACAGATTACCACACTTTACCATAGACAAATCACACGTGAGGATGAAAGGCAAATTATGATACAAAAAATGTCGTTACTGGAAACTGAGAATGTTGTTGTTGTTAGATTCGCTACTAAGTTCCAAGTAGCACGGGCTATGGTGAGCCCGTAGGAGTTTTTATAATGAAACTGAGAGGGAAACACGGCGCTAAGGCATCCATGTCAATTAGACAACATTGTAGACTGTACATTGTTCTCTTACCTGGCGTGATTAGCTGGTAGGGTGTTCCCTGGAGACGAGCAGCTGTGGTCGTGAGGTGTAACACTCCCAAGAGGGATGCTGTGGACCTCGTATTCAGTCTTGGTCGATGGCTTCTTATCAAGAGATGCTACTTGGTCCACTAGTAATAATGACCACTGACTTCTTTAGCACACTTTAATTGTGGCTTGCAATTATTTGTATACTTGATTGGACTCAGATCTACAATAATTGCTCTTCGTCAACCCTCTTTTGTATTTTTGGGTGTAGTGGGTGATACAAGGTTCCTTAGAGGTGAGTGAGTAGTTGAAGCCCGCGCGAGGGTTGACGAAGGTGCAGCAGGCGTGTGTGTGCTGGTCGGGGTGTGCGGCGTCAATGTTCAACGTTGGCTCCACTCCACTCCCAAGTGACGCCACGGCAGGAGGAGGAGCTCCCGCCACAGTTGCCACTATTATTTTATCAACAATCTCGCTCCCGCATTTTGTTTATTCTTTTTGGAACACTTACGACCTCTTATCGTTATATGTTTGTTCCTTTAACTATTTTTATGTAACTTAATTTATTTTTTAATGGGATCAGTTATAATATTTGTGGAGTGATTAGTGTACTAGGAGAGGGGTGGGGGCAAGAGAAGCACGTGTTGTGATGGGAGGTGCAGCCGGGACGCAGAAGCGGGTGTGATCCGGAGCTGTGGTGATGCTTGTTGAGGGCGAGATGTGCTCACCTGAGTCACCCGGCCACATGCTGCTTCACCCGGTATTCTCCTTAACCGCTTCTACTTGCACTTTTAATCTCATCGGCCGCAGTTTGTTTAACTGAAATTTAAATATCTATTGAGGTATAAAACACACAAAGGGACGAGGCAGCTCAAGCTATTCTCATCCCATTCAGTACAACGTCGTTCCTATATATAACACCTCACAAACAATAAACATTTTACAGAACATTTTGAGTGATAAATATATACATTTCTTCCTTTACACATGCAGTATGTTGTTACAATCTCGGTGCCATAATCTTATATCGCTCCAGAGTATCTTCAACGTTTCCGTTGTGACACATCCGGGCTACTTGTTCAGGAACAGTCCTTATCTCAGTGTTTCTATATACAATAATTGAGGGACAACCAAGAACATAATGGGTGATGGTGAGAGACCTTAACATATCACCTTACACTTGGTGTCATTATCATTAACACCTGTACCATAGTGCCAGTAATATTTGTACCCAAGCCTGCGACCGCAGTTCGACTCTTCATTCATTGGAGTAGCTTAGTATTTGGGAGTGCACACACGGTAGCTGCTTCAGTAATGGTGTAGCTGGCAGAGGTGCTGCCACCTCGTGGGTTACTCCTGGAATTGTGTTAATCTTCCCTTCATAAACATTCCATTATAGGGAGAAATAAGTATAAAAAAGCGAATTGAAAATGACATATATTCTTTGGTTATATTTAAATATTTAGCTAGTGTTCTTGCTGATAGTACAATGAGATAGGCTGCCATTAACTGTAATAAACAATAGTATTTTGTGGTACGTTATCAGTTTATCTAGCCTCCTTGCATAGCTGCAAGATATTAACTATTACCCTACACACACAACAGGGGAATAACTAGGCACGTCTTGTCGTGGTCTTGGGAAATCAAACATACATTGGTGTGTTTCATCACTTCAGATGTGAGGAGACGCGTGGGGGAAGGGGGTTGGTCTTGAACGTAAATATTTGGAACTAGGAAGAAACTCATTATTCACTCTGGCCATAATTTGATAATTTTGACCTAAATAGTATTTCGTTATAACAAGTTTCAAAATGCAGTGAATTACATGTGCGCGCGCAGAAGGAATTGTATCTTGTTACAAGATAAACAAACAAGAGGCACTTATTGACAATCACTTGTGTGATTGTAACAATTTTGAGAATAAATATATTGTATAAGCAGAGGATATTTATTGAAGATTGTGAAAAGTTTGCTTGTCATAACTCGATGGAAGATGCAACTAAAAATCTTTAAAAGAATGGAAAGATAATGTTTTGTTTTGACTACTATTTGGATACATTACATCTACTGTATTGGTTATATGTAATGTTAACTAATTAGCTCTCATGTGATCTATAAGCATCCTTGTCTCTTAAATACTGAGAGATAGATGGAATCCTTTCTCCCTCTATATATATAATATATATATATAATATCTCTCTTTTTCCTCTTCCTCCTCCCGTCCTCCGCTCTTGTGTCCGTGTTATCAACATAGGAGTTTGTGTGTGTGTCTTGTCTGCAATTGCAGTAACTTGTTATTTCTCCACTTGTGCACGTATTATTCACCTTAATTGCCTTTCAAAGTTCGTATTTTTTTTCCAAAGAATAAAATGAACTATCTTGATTGTACTTAGTATTCCTTCAAGTTCCTTAAGGTCATGGCCCTCGTGGATTTGTTCCTTAAGGCCAGCATTGTTAGAGATCATATAGTGTTACTTTCTCTTGTCGGCTCCTTTATGTTTATTATGTTAAATTTTCATAAAGATAAGTACATGTGCAGCTATACCTGGGTACATGTGCAGCTATACCTGGGTACATGTGCAGCTATACCTGGGTACATGTGCAGCTATACCTGGGTACATGTGCAGCTATACCCAGGTACATGTGCAGCTATACCTGGGTACATGTGCAGCTATACCTGGGTACATGTGCAGCTATACCCAGGTACATGTGCAGCTATACCTGGGTACATGTGCAGCTATACCTGGGTACATGTGCAGCTATACCTGGGTACATGTGCAGCTATACCTGGGTACATGTGCAGCTATACCTGGGTACATGTGCAGCTATACCCAGGTACATGTGCAGCTATACCTGGGTACATGTGCAGCTATACCTGGGTACATGTGCAGCTATACCCAGGTACATGTGCAGCTATACCTGGGTACATGTGCAGCTATACCCAGGTACATGTGCAGCTATACCTGGGTACATGTGCAGCTATACCCAGGTACATGTGCAGCTATACCTGGGTACATGTGCAGCTATACCCAGGTACATGTGCAGCTATACCTGGGTACATGTGCAGCTATACCTGGGTACATGTGCAGCTATACCCAGGTACATGTGCAGCTATACCTGGGTACATGTGCAGCTATACCCAGGTACATGTGCAGCTATACCTGGGTACATGTGCAGCTATACCCAGGTACATGTGCAGCTATACCTGGGTACATGTGCAGCTATACCTGGGTACATGTGCAGCTATACCTGGGTACATGTGCAGCTATACCCAGTACATGTGCAGCTATACCTGGGTACATGTGCAGCTATACTTGGGTACATGTGCAGCTATACTTGGGTACATGTGCAGCTATACCTGGGTACATGTGCAGCTATACCTGGGTACATGTGCAGCTATACCCAGGTACATGTGCAGCTATACCTGGGTACATGTGCAGCTATACCCAGGTACATGTGCAGCTATACCTGGGTACATGTGCAGCTATACTTGGGTACATGTGCAGCTATACTTGGGTACATGTGCAGCTATACCTGGGTACATGTGCAGCTATACCCAGGTACATGTGCAGCTATACCTGGGTACATGTGCAGCTATACCTGGGTACATGTGCAGCTATACCCAGGTACATGTGCAGCTATACTTGGGTACATGTGCAGCTATACCTGGGTACATGTGCAGCTATACCCAGGTACATGTGCAGCTATACCTGGGTACATGTGCAGCTATACCTGGGTACATGTGCAGCTATACCTGGGTACATGTGCAGCTATACCTGGGTACATGTGCAGCTATACCTGGGTACATGTGCAGCTATACCCAGGTACATGTGCAGCTATACCCAGGTACATGTGCAGCTATACCCAGGTACATGTGCAGCTATACCCAGGTACATGTGCAGCTATACCCAGGTACATGTGCAGCTATACCCAGGTACATGTGCAGCTATACCCAGGTACATGTGCAGCTATACCCAGGTACATGTGCAGCTATACCCAGGTACATGTGCAGCTATACCCAGGTACATGTGCAGCTATACCCAGGTACATGTGCAGCTATACCCAGGTACATGTGCAGCTATACCTGGGTACATGTGCAGCTATACCCAGTATATGTGCAGCTATACCTGGGTACATGTGCAGCTATACCCAGTATATGTGCAGCTATACCCAGTATATGTGCAGCTATACCCAGTACATGTACAGCTATACCTGGGTACATGTGCAGCTATACCCAGTATATGTGCAGCTATACCCAGTATATGTGCAGCTATACCCAGTACATGTACAGCTATACCTGGGTACATGTGCAGCTATACCCAGTACATGTGCAGCTATACCCAGTATATGTGCAGCTATACCCAGTACATGTACAGCTATACCTGGGTACATGTACAGCTATACCTGGGTACATGTGCAGCTATACCCAGGTACATGTGCAGCTATACCTGGGTACATGTGCAGCTATACCTGGGTACATGTGCAGCTATACCCAGTATATGTGCAGCTATACCCAGTACATGTACAGCTATACCTGGGTACATGTGCAGCTATACCCAGTACATGTGCAGCTATACCCAGTATATGTGCAGCTATACCCAGTACATGTACAGCTATACCTGGGTACATGTGCAGCTATACCCAGTACATGTGCAGCTATACCCAGTATATGTGCAGCTATACCCAGTACATGTACAGCTATACCTGGGTACATGTGCAGCTATACCCAGTACATGTGCAGCTATACCCAGTACATGTGCAGCTATACCCAGTATATGTGCAGCTATACCCAGTACATGTACAGCTATACCTGGGTACATGTGCAGCTATACCCAGTACATGTGCAGCTATACCCAGTATATGTGCAGCTATACCCAGTACATGTACAGCTATACCTGGGTACATGTGTCGCTATACCCTGTACATGGGCAGCTATACCCAGGTACATGTGCAGCTATACCCGGGTACATGTGCCGCTATACCCTGTACATGTGCAGCTATACCCAGGTACATGTACAGCTATACCCAGTACTTCACGGGGAGTTACAGTTGTGCAGAGCCTTGCTGTGTGATAGGTCAACATCTCGCAGGACAGTTACCCATACACCAGCTTGTGGTCTGTAGCTCTCACAGCTGAGTTGGCGTTCATTGTGAGGAGCTCTGTGTTTTACCGTTGAACTTTGTAAAAACAATTGTTAACAGTTGTTTAGGGTGGGATCTGGGTGCCGGTATATGAGACACGGGAAGTTCCCCGGTACTGTCACCCAGGGCGTGATCCTGATATCCTTCTCTTCCTAACTGGGCCGGGCTCTTGTCTTTTCAAATGTAATACTGGGTATTAATTTGAAGGCGCCATATACATGATTAATATTAGGAGTTTTATATGTGTGTGTGTGTGTGTGTGTGTGTGTTTGTTTTAGTTAGAAAGTGTGTGTCACGTGGTAAGAATAGGAAAATATTGGAGCGTAACAGTTGGCCATGAGACGGTACAGGGCTGCCAACCAATGGCAGCCACACACACGGATGACGTGTGTTGACGTCAGAAAACACTACCAGATGCCGCTAGAGAAAACGTTTGCTACTTATGGATGTTCAATTCTCTAATAATTGAGTTATTATATAGTAGATATGGTCTTAAATGTAAAATTCTACATTACTGTCCATAATGGTAATTTGTGCCTGTGACAGTTTCGTGAATCAGCGGCTAAAAATCAACTGTTGTGAATTCTAAAATAAAACGTTTCCTGTAAATGCATTGCCTTTGTATGTAATTTTCCGCGTCTTTTAAATGGCAGCATACTTGCTGTTTTTGTCGTGGAAGTTGGAGTAGAGTGAGTGACTGTTCGCCGCCACTATCCTTTTGAAGCATGAACTATGTTTATTGTTTTGCATATTGTATTTGTACAAATATATTGTGGAGCTCTGCTTTCGGGGACCAGTTGGTCATTGGCTCCAAATTGAGGAGTCTTGAGGTTACGAAATTAGCGTCTGGATTTCTGGGAAATTGTGAGAGGGAGTACGAGCAGCTGGTTCTCGTGTTTGAGGTAAATTAAGATTTCGAGGAGACTGCACATATATATATTACCTAAAATCAAATAAACGTGTAATTTATCAGTAAGGCGTAGTTTCGTTAGAATATTAATTCTATCTTCCAAAATATAGTTTTGATTGAATTGTTTCAGATATTAAATAGAAAACTACATTTGCACCTTTCTGGATTCCATCATTTAAACGGGACAAAAATTATCCGCGCGTCAAACAGTTTTAATGGTTTACACAAACTGATTTGGCTAAATACTTTAGAAAAAATTTGGGTCAGCTTGGTGTATGTCTTAATGAAGGTATAATACCTGGGTACTATGTGCAGCTATACCCGGGTACTATGTGCAGCTATACCCGGGCACTATGTGCAGCTATACCCGGGTACTATGTGCAGCTATACCCGGGCACTATGTGCAGCTATACCCGGGTACTATGTGCAGCTATACCCGGGTACTATGTGCAGCTATACCCGGGTACTATGTGCAGCTATACCCGGGTACTATGTGCAGCTATACCCGGGTACTATGTGCAGCTATACCCGGGTACTATGTGCAGCTATACCCGGGTACTATGTGCAGCTATACCCGGGTACTATGTGCAGCTATACCCGGGTACTATGTGCAGCTATACCCGGGTACTATGTGCAGCTATACCCGGGCACTATGTACAGCTATACCCGGGTACTATGTACAGCTATACCCGGGTACATGTACAGCTATGCTCAGTACATGTACTGGGTATAGCTGCACAATTGTGCACAATTAACCGCGGGACAGTTAATTATTAAGGCCCTGCTGCTTTCTGCAGTAATTCAGGAGAGGGAGGACGTGGGGGAGGAATAGATTCCCAGTTTCTCAATGTTTTAAATGTTGGTTCAGTTGGGTTTGGCTTTAACAAGCACTTTGGGATACTCGTTTTTCCGTATATATATATACTTGTGAAACTGGTTATCTTATCTAGCACAGGAGGATAGCGACCATCATACAACAGTGTGTGGCTGGTGCACGCTGGGGATGTTGAGAGTGCAGTGGGTAGCCCCAGCTGGCTGTAACTGTACCAGGGGGCACGAACCCCGCTGACTACCAACGTCACTGTGATATTGTATTGTTTAAGCAGTGAGGATTCCCCTTAGGGGGGGGCCCCCCCCCTCCTCTCGACCCAATAGCATTTCTTAAAGCAATTTAACCTTGATGTGCCAGAAACCAGTCGTATTAATTCAAGTACAATTGAATTTACAGTGATCTTATAAGATAGTGCAACCTATTTTAGATATTGACAAAGAATGACGGGTAGTATAAGGAAGCGGTTATTCAGTTTATACAATAAAAAAAGGTATGATAGTGGTAGTAGACATGACGAATTCAATATTAATGAATAAAATAAAAAGTTGGAGCCTACTGAGCAATATATTCAGGGTTGCCAGATTGGGCTACAAGTAGCGAATTGGGCTACTTTTGAGAGCCCCACGCTCCCAAATTTTTAATTTCGCTACTTGCGACTTTTTGGGCTAGTTTGAACGCAAGTTGGGCTACTTTGGGCTATTAATATTAAGAAACTCAATGATGAACCCATCGCCGTTTTCAGTAATTGGCATATTTTCAGTGTAAAAAGTAGTAATTTGAAAATGATAATAGGTCCAGAGAGTCGGAATTCGGCTCAAAAATCACGCTCAGGAGTCAAATTTCCGACATTTCCGATATTTTGAAAACTGCAGGGGGGTTTGGGCAAAATATGACCCCTCGCCGTTTTCAGTAATTGGCATATTTTCAGTATAAAAAGTCGTAATTTGAAAATGAAAATAGGTACAGAGAGTCAGAATTCGGCTCAAAAATCACGCTCAGGAGTCAAATTTCCGACATTTCCGATATGTTATTTGTCTATTTGTACTCACTGAATTTGTGCGCCCCTTGAGGGACTTGAAGTAGAGGGGGGTAGAAATAGCCTAAGCTACTCTATCCCTTTGAGATGTATTTATTGCTCATCTCAATAAACATCCTTGAACTTGAACAGTTCCACAGGTATATATGGGGAGACCGGGAGCTAAGCTCTACCCTCCAGGAGATAGCCTCTGGCTATCTACCTACCCCACCTAGATAGCGGTTTGTTTGATGGAAAAACAACTAACCGGCTGCAATTATCAGCTTAGCAGAAAGCTAGGTCACTTCACATGATCTGACCCGAAAGCAACCTGCTGCAATTAACACCTGAAAGGTGTGACTAGAATAATTTATAGGGCGACTGTTTGGTGCCTCCAATATCATGTGTGACTGACTTGTATGTAAATTAAATGTACAAAAACACATTTATGGTGTTAGTGTGTTAAATAAAAGCATAATTTAACTAACAATTAACCACACTGGCCTTGAACAGGGTTAAGCCAAATGGGGCTGGCAGATTCATGGTTGGAAGACTCGAGAGCCTCTGGAGGCCTCCACCAGCAACACATGGGTGCCACCACTAAGGCTGATATGACCTTTTACCATGAGGAGGACCCTGGTATGGATGATTTAGACGATGATGAGGTGGACGAGCATGTTGGTCACAGTGCCCAAGGTAAGTGTCCTAAATTCCCTGTCCCAAAAGTCATATCTAAAATACTCAACCACTTGGCTTTTGTAAAAGCATTGCACTCATATTCTGGTTTACTGTACTCCTTTTATTGAACTGCACTGAATTAACAAAAGATATGGTATTTTCATGAAATCTAGAATGGTGAGTACATTATTAATACTGGAATATTCTCCTTTGCAGGTGAGAGAAAAAAGTCTGGATCAGCTTTAGATCTGATGGCAATGTGTGAGGAGGTGGAGCTGGAGGAGACACACACGGGTGGACTGGGAACCCCAGAGGATGACACTAGAACTATGAAGAGAGTACAGATCAAACTTGAACATGGTACAAGTGTTTCAGACTCTCATGTTCAAACTTCAGTTGAAATTTCTCCTATGACTAGTCACCTTCACCAACATCAAAGTCATCAATCTGCTACTGAATACTTAACAACTGAAGAAGAGGTTGACATCCACAAAGAGTCCATTGAAATGCGTGAAGATCACAGATCTGCTGCAACGAGAGCAACAATCCGTATAAGTCACGATGATGATGATCCACTGTCACATGCAGTGAAAGTAACCGAAGCGAGCGAAGAGATGGGAGATCAAAATATGTCCAGCATCTTGACCACTTCAGGAACTATGATGCGAATGGGAAGTGCTCAGCATGTACCCACATCTGTTCAGAGCACTATAGTAAGGCTCGACTATTTATATACCTTAAAATAAAAATAGTATATACCTTAATTAAATGTTCTTGCTAATCATTTATTCAAAACATTAGAATAAAGGCAACTGCAGAAGGCTTATTGGCCCATGTGAGGCAGCTCATATATACAGTATACCTAGCTAAACTCACTCATATATTTTTATAACTTTTCCTTGAAACAATTTGTTTGGCAGTCCTACATTGATTGTTTCCCAATAAATTGTTCTACAAATCAACAACTCAATTTCCATACCAATGCTTGCCAAAGTCTTGTTGGAGCTCTCGGGTAAGTATTATGTAATATATTTGATTTGAATATTTAAAACTACTGTACTCTAATAATAAGTAAAATATCAGTTTCTAATATCTGTTCAGTTATTCTATTTATACACTATTAAAAAAAAAAAGATACTATAGTTAGGACATTTTAGTACAGTACAGTCAAGACAGAATTTTAACATTTTCTTGGTTGATTTTTATTTGGGTATACTATACTGGTTTTGTAGGATAACTTAGTCTGCTACAGTGTCTCCATTTTTGTTGGACTATTTTTTCTGTTAATGCAGGTTTTTAATTTTTTGCCTTCTTTTGTGATTTTCTGTACCATATTCTATTAATTTTACATTATTCTACATACATATGTTTGCTTTGTAAATCATCATTCCACACATTATTTTTTCTGTGTAATAAAATTGACACTGTTTCACCATTATGATTACCAAACAAGCTTACAGAATTCTTCAGCATAGGTCTCAAGTGCTCCTTCAAAATGTAACAGCATGAGTGTTTGTAAATTCAAATTATCTTTCATGCAGATGAATATCAAATGTTAGATAAGATTATCATTGAACCTTGTCTCATTATGATTTATTCAGGAGTAATGTTGCTAAAGTGATTACAGTTCGAGAGGCAGTCTTAAACTTTTACACATTGCATTATCATCAAATGCAATTTTTTTCAGGATGTGCAAGATGATGGAGGCCTTATCCTTCTTGGATTGGCTGGTGGAGAGCCGCAGAATCGTGTTTATGCTGCTGGATCTTCTCAGTCATCAACACCTCTAGTTACAGATTCTATGCGACCAACACCTCCGCGGCGCATTCGAAAGTACTCAAAGCACGACCTCATAGTGAGTTAATAAGGTGAAAAACTGTATGTAAATACAGCCCTCACTGCCTCTTGATACCTTTTTTGGCAAATGATGCCTGTATGCAATTAAGAAATTGATAATAAAATTTCAAGGTTTAATTTAGGGGTGTTACTTTCCCCCACTCTTTGAAGCTACCGTGACTGAATTGACCACAGTCAATTCAATTCACATCAGTAATAACAATATGGAGAAACAGAAAGTGTAAACTTTATTAGATTTTTTTTTTGTCTGTTGAAGAACACATGCCATTTTGATCTAGATAATTTTAGGAATGAATTTACTACAAATGGAACCTATGATATATTTATTGTACTTCAGAAAAAGACTTCCTCTCCTAAAAAGGAAAAATCGTGTCTAATGTGTCAATAACAATATTAATGTTTATTCAGGTAAAAGATCTACATTGTCTTCCCGGCTTGGGGAACAAGCCGGGAACTTTTATATTTACTAATTAATGTGTCACTAAGACTTACTTGTTCGGTCTTGCTTAGACTCTGATATTAAACTTATTTTCACTGTTCCTGGTATTAAAATGTAGCCATATTTTCACACAAAATCATTTGAATGCTGTGGTCTCTACAGTTATATTTAGATTTTAATTCCATTTGCATAGTTTTGTTTAAATTACAAAAATTTGTATTTACAGACTGCACTGAATCTTGTTCGTGATGGACATCTTGGGATAAAGCCAGCTGCCCGAGCCTTCAACATTCCTGTAGCTACACTGTACAATGTTACCAAGAGACACAACATCTCCAGCCCCATGCAGCAGGTAACAGAGAAAATGACAAATGAGACAATCAAGAAACATTCTGGGTAAATAGAGGCGAGAGTAGATTGGGAACCAAGCCATAGGTGTAGTGGAGGCAGAAGTTTTTTTAAGAAACTGGATCCAGCTCATTAAAGAAATACTGTATGTGAATTAAAACTGCATGTAATGAAATAAACAATTAATTCACTTTAATGAAACGTTTATGTTTAACATATATAAAGTTTAAGTTTAACACAAAATTTAAGTAAAGAGCTACTACAGAGATGCAGAATTTAAACCCCTTTATTACTGGTAATACAATAATACCCTTAGCGGTAAATGTAGTTTTATAGAATTAGTAGTAAGCATTATTACTCTTTTTGCACTTTCATGTGGGGAAAAGGAGAGATTAACCTAAAGATAGAAGGGATGTAATGTAGAGAAAGAGAGGTTAACATATAATAAAATAGCACCCATCCATTGACCATATCTTACTACATAGACTAACAGGTAACCAGTCCCACAACACTTGAGCAAATCATCCACAGCATCACCCACTTCTTCATAGGACTAGGTGAACAGCGTACACTAAAATCGAGCCTGTATCGTTCCAGGCATTCATATTTAATTGCTCCAGCTGCCTTACAACAACAACAACAACAATAGTGCATAATCAAGTCCAGAATGCTTAGCATGCATCATTATACATGAATATAATAAACTGTGTTAAACATAAGAAATGTGGTTTATATGGTATCCCAAAACAGTGCAGAGAATCTGGTAAGCCTACAGATCATTTGATAATCCACACTAAACCTGCTTAATATTTATATTGACCCATGTGCTTTGTAACTGGGCATAACATTACATATCTGCGAGGACAAATGAATTCACATTCTTATTGCTGTACAAACCAAAGGGCTGCTTTTACAGTACAGTGAGTTGTATAATATGAGTTATGTACAAGTAACTAAACAATGGAATGTGTTTTGTAACATCATTGCCTTTGGAAAACAGTCAGTTTTCCCAGCTATCATTTCTAGGTAATTGGAGCTTAACTGTTATCCAAGTTATGTGGCTTAATATATTGTATATTGTATATCATTGAAATACAACTTTTGTGTACATTCAAAATTCCTGACACATTCATGGATCTAAAGTTTACCTTTGATAAAGCAGGCTGACTTATCCTTAAGTGAACTTGCCAGAATTAATGCTACTAAATGTTGGGTTTAGTGAATATTTATCCAACATGATGCCTTCTGTTATTTTAAGGCTACCGAAGTATAACTATGAACTAGGCACTCTGCTGGGAGATGTCTTTAGTCCTACTTTATATATATATAGCTTTAACAAACGTTTTTTCTAAATTCTATACCTAGGAAATCTAATGATCACAATACAGTATTTGCTTTGCTCATGAGAGCATGATTTCATACTGCTTTATTGGGCATATCAACAGTCAGAAGATCCTCAAAAAACCTAGGCTTAATCTAAATCTGGTACGAGAAAATATGATTACTTAATCGACTGCCATGCTACGTAGCCTTCCCGGTTTGGTGCCTTGTTTTGATAATTACTTATTTGATCGACTGCCAGGCAGACTGGAGACTTATGAGATGCGACTTTGTAATTGATCTTGACTTCAGTATTACCAGATTAAAATACTTTACCATAGTTTTGATATCCCACTGTATAGACTCTTGTAAATGTACTTTCGTCAGCAATACAGAGGGCACTCATGGTTGTGGCAGGGTAGCAGCCTATCTATGGGCACTAAATAAAAACTGTTAAGAAATTGGCTGTATCTTTATATTTTAGATCTACAAATTAGGTATCCTCCCAGTGAGGAAGGGGGGTTATCATCATTTTCAGGCATGAACTACATGTCAATGACTCATCCAACAAGATAAACAGACTTAGATGTTAGCACTTTTGGCTTTGGCTAGCCTGTAAATATATTTTGACATTTGTACCTGATGTAGATATTACAAATTGTAAAGTGTCAGCAGAGCTATTCTAATTCCCAAGCACCATTGTGCTTGGACAAGAAAAATCTAAAAATTTAGAGATCAATATTACGAATGTTCAAGATAAGATTACAGGAAGTACAAATACATGTACATTACTTCATCCAAAAAGGTGTATAATATTACTGGCACACTAAATCGTTGGCCTAATATCCTAACTTTGCCTGTTTGCAATAGTCAGTTCTGCCATACTGCCCACATAATGCATATTAGGATACAATATTTAATAAACAATCAAGTAAAATATGACTAAATATCTTGTGTGCATAGTTCTGACCTTATCACTACTTGGATGAAGAAATTGAAGGTTTCTAGAATACTTTGTATCTTGAAACTCCAGTTCAGTTGACATCATCAACCAGTTAGCTAGCAGGTTTATCAGTGCTACAGGTGAGTAGATCATTAGGTTGTTGACATCAACCAGTTAGCTAGCAGGTTTATCAGTGCTACAGGTGAGTAGATCATTAGGTTGGACACTTGGTCAAGAAGCATTTTTCTCTTGTACTTGCACTTATGAATTCCAAAAGGAACTACAGTAGGTTAATTTTTACTTAAGTGATTCATTGCACAGTAAAGGGATTAAATGTGCAAGGTAAATTTTGTACAAGACATTTGTTTAGAGAAGTTGCAGCAGTATATTTGAAGGTAAGCAAAGTTGAGATGTGTGTGTAATATAAGTGCCCGCTCAATACTACGCCTATTGCTACTTGTATTTTAGGTCTATTATCTTTTAATCAACTTTTTATAATTTACTGAAAATACTTTGTGGTTTGTAATACTGTATTCATTTTACACATATATTATGTTAATAAGAAATAATTATCAGTTTAAATGACATTGTCTCTTCTTCAGGGAGCTAATGAGAAAACCTGGCGAGGTAAAGGTTCTCTTCTTGTTAGTACTGATGGTAGACATTTCCAGTGTTTGCCATCTCGCTCTCCAATGATTCCTGAGTCAACTTAAACTGGCCTTTCATTTTTGTTCAAGTGCATGTCATAAACCAGTGCCCACCATATTGCCAGACCATAATGTGACTTCACATCTCATTAGTAGAACCATGTTATGAGTTGGCTGTCATATTAGTATTTTTCTGCAGATGGAGCATCACAATGTTGAAGCGGTTGTAATTTTCGTTCGTTATACTTGATAATGTTTACGTACTTTGAAAGGCATAGTATATGACAGAGTACAAATACACGTTTTGTATAAAAGTATCGGACAACAGTATTGTTTAGATTCTTCCTCTCAAAACCTGAAGATGGCATTAGTCTTAACCTAAGAGGTAATTCATATTTTGTATTGATAGGAGTTATTTTTCCAAACATTAAAAACATAGATCTAACATTGATCTAGAAACAAATGTTAATTATCCATGTGCAAGCTGTTTTCTTGTTTTGGTGTTATCATTCAGTGTTAAATAACAGAACTTATATTTATGATAGCTTTGTGGTGCAATAAATGGTAAGATGACTAAGTTTGATGCAAGTACAGTAGATGTTAGCATTTGGGTGAGCAGCTTGGTAAAGGTGAAATTTGAGAGATGCAATTGTGAGTTGCAATTTAGTAAAGATGAATTGAAGCCTAGAAAAATAAGTGATGTGAGAGATGTATGCAAGTGTAAGTTAACGGAGTATGTGAGAAGTATATTCATGTATAGTTGCAGGACAAAACATTAGTTTTCAGAGACCGTCAAGCTGTCAGTTCAGTGTGATATATTTAGTACAAATATAAATTGGATTTAAAGAAAATAAAAATTGGTTAATTGCAAAGCCAAACAATTCTAAGCCATGTAATAAATATAATAATAAACTTATTTAATTTTAAGTTAAAAATGTCTACTGTGACTGTAAAATGTTATGTATATTTGATTGATTTAATCATTTGTTTGATATAATTATTATATAAACATTTGGTATATATATTATTAATACAAACTGTATTCAGCTTAATGCTGTAATTTTTTTTATTTCCATATATAATTATTCATAATAAAGTTGTTTTCCCTATGATTACTAAAAGTGATAGTAAAGTACTTAGTCATTATAGGCCCAGTATAGGGTATGCAGTAAGGGAAAATAAGAAGTTGATGGTTGAGATTTTTGCAGGATAAGAAACTGGACATAGTAATAACACTCGCCATTTGCTCGCTTCAACACTATAACTTCACTCATGGTTGTGCTTGCCTACACCTCAATGCCCACAACACATTTACTTTCATAATTGTTTTTGATATTAAAGGCCAGTGCTTTTATTATCAACATTTAACTTGTGAAGGCCCATATAATAATGACTAACATATACCAAAATTTTATTTATAAGTAAAAGTTGGAGACTCTTTGGGATGAAATTGTTCTCTCTCGTTTTCCTTTATCATGTGCATGCAGAGCTCACAGATTTTGAGCCTTCATGTTTCTTCACTCTTCTTCTCCCTGTCTGGGTTTTTTAATATTCAGTAATTCAATACCTATGTCAGGAAAAAAATCTTCAAATTTCAGCAAGACTTTGTTATTTAGGCAAAGAAAGATAATGCTTCATTACTGTACTGTACTTATATTTTCTCTGAATAACATTTAGCTGCGGTATTTCATAGTGACATTTCTCCTCGTACAGTAGTTCATCTCTGTACAGTACTTTAAAGCACATTTTGTGTAGGCATTTTCCACAATTCCCTTAATTTTACGGAGCTAAGTCCCGAGAAATCCATGTATACATATATCATTATTATACAGAGTATATCAGAAATGTTGCATAATATTGTACTGCTAATATTCTTTGTAGAACATCTGTTGTTTAAAAGCAGAAAGAGCTTGATTACAAATTTGTATACTTGAATATATGAGCTAATTATTCTTCAGTAACTAGAACCATTAAGAAATATAGTACATATCTTAAAAAAAAAAAATATATATATATATTTTTTTTTTTTTTAAAGAGATAGAGATATAAATGATAATTTATCAGTGTGAATACAGTGTGGGGAAAATTTTGTTTGAGCTCAGACGGGCTGGACACCCCATAAAACACGATTCAACAAATATTTACACATCTTTTCTCAATCTTTGGTGGCTTTACATCTATGAAACAGTTTACGAGCATTTTAACTTGAATCAAATGTTGTTATTGTTATAAACAACCTACTGGTGCTTGGGATCTTATAAACTGTGTAATACTGTACATGTAAACAAAGCTGCCAAAAATTGAGAAAAGATGTAGAGGTTGATAAGTGCGTGCATAACTGCTTGATGACGCCTGGTCCAGGATAGTTGCACCAGGTATACCCTGCTCTTCTGTGCACCTGCTTTATATACTCTGTGACAATTATTATTAACTTAAGCCATAGGCTAAATATATTGTTACATTTAACTTAATTTATTCAATTTATATTTTAGTAATAATTGAAGGCCACTGATCTTGGTAGTACAGTATGCAGAATATTTGTTTAGTGATATGAATTACTAAGTTTTTGGTACATTATTTACATTTTCATGTGTGATGAGAGAAAAATTTTCAGCTGCAGTTCTCACAGATTATCACATTAATTTATCTTTTTGAAGAATTAATGCCAATAGCATCGAATGCATACACAATGGCATTGATAATTTTTACTAACTTTTTGGCATTTTATTTTTAGTTAATCTCAAATTAGTAATTCATCTCATAAAGCTACAAAAACATTTATCCTACTTTAATTAATGTAACTATTAAGTAAGGCTCCTGTTCTTGTGGTCAGTGGATTTGGCCTTGTTATATGGTGGACTCCTTGTAATATAGTACTTCACTGTCTATTTGAATTGGAAGATGAAAATTAAAATGTTAATTTTCAGATTGTTTAGATTTATTCTCGATCATTCAGCTTTGTAGGACAGTTTCCATTTCTACTGAAATAATCCATCAAGATTTGAAGGAGCATAAGTACAATAAAAAACTTGAGCTAATGTTCACATTTTTCTATACGTATTAAGATGCACTCTACTAGTCAAAAGGTTTTGTTATATAGATCTTACATTAAATGTCAGAATGTTGGTAATGGCATTGAGTACCAAGTACTTGATGGCCAGTCTTATAACAAAAGACATTACCTGTGCACTGCTGCCTTACATAACACGTAAGCTTGTATCTACAGAGCATTATAATTGTAGTATAAGAAGGCTTTAAAAAAGTGCCTCAGGTGACAACTAAATTATTAGATTGTTGTATAATGTATTCAGATTTTGGTTTAAAAAATGTTGAAGTTAGCTGGTCACAGGAATGTTGGGGATCAACTGGTTACAGGAATGTTGGGATCAACTGGTTACAGGAATGTTGGGGGTTAACTGGTTACAGGAATGTTGGGGATCAACTGGTTACAGGAATGTTGGGGATCAACTGGTTACAGGAATGTTGGGATCAACTGGTTACAGGAATGTTGGGGGTTAACTGGTTACAGGAATGTTGGGGGTCAACTGGTTACAGGAATGTTGGGGATCAACTGGTTACAGGAATGTTGGGGGTCAACTGGTTACGGGAATGTTGGGGGTCAACTGGTTACAGGAATGCATTTTTGTTTGATTTATTACAAGTACAATATTGTAATTTTTGTGGGTAAATTTTTTGCATTGCAAGTTAAAAATGATGGCAACAAATAACTATTATTCTGTAAACTTTGTTTAAGGTTATCTGTGAACTGGGTTAAATCTGCTACACGAATGTAAAGTTAAATGTCTAAAAGATTTATTGTTTTATCAGAGAACTGTGAACTGTTGCACTATTCAGCTACAACACGTGGACGTGAAAACTTGACATTTGTTAAGGGACTGAATTTTTGATCTAATGTAGTTAATAAATTATATATATATAATACATATAATTTTGTTTTCATGTAACCCAAGTTTTGAAAATAAAAATTTAATAGTAATAATTTTTTTTTACTTATAAAATTGTCCTATAATTTTTTTTAACTTATTACTGCACAGTAATAGTATTTGTTCTTTATCAGGATTAATTATTGGATTTTAAATGTTCCTTTTAAGACTGAATTAATTAAGTTCTTCTAAATGGGTTTCTGACTACATTTTGCACTTCTTGGTCTTAATATCAGCTTTGATGCCTACCGTTAAATGTTTCCCAATTTATCAATAAATGTTTATCCGGTCAAACTTTACGTACATAGGAAAATGCAGAAAACCATCGTCTCAAATTTAAAATAAAGAAATGCCCTTTGACTAGAGTGTTAAACATGCAGGTACACACACAACTACAAAGTGTTTGGAAAACCACTTGCTAAGACGAGAAGGATTTCTAAATTGTGACATTTGTTGCAATATCTGGTACAGTACATGGAAACTATGTCAATCTGCAAGTAATTAAGCTAACAGTATGTTGGGCTTCATTGCAATAAATTTTGATTATTAATGTCAGAAACTGTTGACTGTGTGTCTTAGTCAGACCACACATTTAATCACTTTAATGATTTAATTATGGCAAAAAGATGCTCAATTAAATACCGAAAATAATACCATAATTAAAAATCAATTGTGCGAAGAAATGTTTTTTTCCTTCAACGAAGCAAAGAATACAAGGTAGCTTAGTTCAAACCTTGGTATTTTATACAAAAAGCCTTATTTGAGATGTAAGGCAAGGAAGGTAGAGGCAGTACAAACATGGCAGTAGCTTCACCTGCATAAGATATACAGTATTAGAATAAATAACTCTTCAATGTTATACAGTGGAAGTGCCATATCAAAAAGCAGCCATTAAACTTGCAAAGGAAAGCACAATGAAATCATGGTAACATGACTCTTCTGAGAAAAATTGAGGCAATGTGGTGAGAAAGAACTCATGTCCCTGGACTCACCAGGCACACTGCCTACTGAACCATGATGAACTAAAGATATCTCAACCACAAGTTCTGCCAGACTTGCTTAAATAACAGTTTGGAATGCACCATTTGGTATCATAAAATTCATTCTTAAATTAATGTAATTTAAATCATTGTGTCAGGGGACAGATAGCCAGTATATACATATAGTACATGTTAAGCTTACATCGAGGTCCCCCCCATTTTTATTTATTTATATATATTTATATATATTAGTATATTTTGGTAGCAGTCTTTCCTGTAGACATATATTATTAAATATGACCGAAAAAGTAAGATTAATAATTTTAACACGAATTTTCTCAATCTTTCGTACATTTCTTTTCACTGTTGGAGGTAAATAAAAAATCAATTCTCCAAAATTCATTTTTATTTCTAGTCTGACGCGACACGAGCGCGTTTCGTAAAACTTATTACATTTTCAAAGACTTTAGTTTACAAATACACAACTGAATAGAACTTACGCATCTCCGATTTTATATCTACATTTGAGTAAGGTGGATGGGGTGAGGTGGCATTAATAGGGTATTAATTTCATCAACACAAGACAGAACAAGAGGTGGCATTAATAGGGTATTAATTTCATCAACACAAGACAGAACACGAAACAATGGGTATTGAATAGAAGTGTTTGTAGAAAGCCTATTGGTCCATATTTCTTGATGCTTCTATATTGGAGCGGAGTCTTGAGGTGGGTAGAATATAGTTGTGCAATAATTGGCTGTTGATTGCTGGTGTTGACTTCTTGATGTGTAGTGCCTCGCAAACGTCAAGCCGCCTGCTATCGCTGTATCTATCGATGATTTCTGTGTTGTTTACTAGGATTTCTCTGGCGATGGTTTGGTTGTGGGAAGAGATTATATGTTCCTTAATGGAGCCCTGTTGCTTATGCATCGTCGACTTCCTATGGCGTCACCTCTCACATAATTACGTCTCATTTCGTTATGAAATTAGATTATTTCAGAGTAAAAATAGGTTTGATCATGTTCTACGTGTAGCGCCAACATTATAGTAAGTAAATATACCATATTTCTTCATTACTTACGTAATGCTAGGACGATTTGTGTAGTTTTGGGCCGATTTGGGCCGATTTGGGTAATTCTTTGGACCGTGTACGGAGTGTCTTGTATCAGTTGAGGTGATGGCTGCGCTCCGGGTGAGATGTTGTCCTTCACTGTGCCAGGGTCACCACTGTGTGTGTGTGGCACCTTGATGGGTGCCACGGTGCTCGGGGAGCCCATTAGACCTGGAGGGGGAGTTATAACCCTTAGACAGTGGACATTGACCACTGTGATTAAGAGACTTGGGACCCGGCCGGCTGGATGTTTGGGTCAGCTGATGGGAATTTGGTTCTCATTATTCTCACTGAATTCATTATAGAAACTCATTCTTAAAAATTAGTGGTGGTAATGGTGAAGTGTAGTGGTGTATGGAGAGATTGTTGTGGTGTGGTTAGCGACCCCTGACATCACGGCTCCTGGAAGTAACCTAACAAACCCAAATGTTATGGGGCCCGTAGTACAGTTGGCTTCGTTCTCGACTCACAATCCCGGGATCCCAGGCTGGACAGTTATGGTTGAGCACATTTCCCTATACCTAATGCCCGAAATGCTATACGTGTTAGTGTCTTTGCAAGAATGTAAGAACACCAATGTTATGTACTCTCACAGACCCAATGTACCTTCTTGCATATAAATAAATAAAATATTAATATAGCAATAAATAGGTACCTGGCAAATTTTCGTTGATAATATTTACTGGGTGTTTTAAACTGTAGCCTTCATATATATGTACTGTGCTCTCTTTGTATTGTGAAAGACGAGTACAATGTTTTTTAACCCTCGTCAGCTTGTGCGGAAATGGGGTATCCCTGTGGCCACAGCTGCCGCCATACCCATTCTTACACCAGCCGTGTGTGCCGATTCTGGAGAGAAAGATGTTTCGCCGCCCACATCTCGTATGGTGCGGCCCTCAGACCTACCAATTTACGAGGACCCGGAGGAAGTGCTTGAGTAAGTTAAGTGATTCATATTATTCTTTATCAGTGTAAACAAAAAATGATTGTTACAGTATAAAAATACAAGGAAATCTTCATTATTCTCTGATTTGAATATGGATAAGACACATAATTATTCACTATAACTGAATTGTCACTAAATCAAAATGTCATTATAATTTAAATTTTGATTAATTAGGAACATAGGAATAGAGTAAAATGTTGTCAGCTTGTTGGTTCATCTAGGGCAGGTCCGATTTGTGTGTGTACCGTCTCACTTATGTAGTTCCCATTGTCGGGGACAAGGAGCCGGTACCTAGACTCGTCGAGGTCCCCTAGACCAATAGTTGCCAACCGGTGGTTAACGAGACAATTTTATTTGTGTATTGTATGTAACTGTGTATTTTCATTAACTGTTATATTTAATGGCATCAAATAGTTTGACTTTTTAATAACTATCATTTCTTGTTTGGTGGACTGCAGGATTAAGATTATGAATTTGGTGATTCATGAGCTCTGAAAGGCTGGCGACTGCCATTCTAAACCACCTGGTGACCTTCCCCAAAAATCCAACCCACAACAGTTGCCTAACTCCTGGGTACCTATTTTAGTGTTAGGTGAACCGGCATCATGTGAAAGGAAATGCGCCTGTTTCTGTCATACCTAATGATGGAACCCAGGTCCCACAGTTGTGACCCAAGGAGTATATAGACCAATAGGTCTTCTGCACTTTCCTTTATTCATATGTTCTTAAATTAAATCCTGACAGATTACTGTAGTTAGAAATTGAACAGTGCCTAGTTTGGTAGGAAGTGGACTCTCCTAATTTCTTTACAAATAAGCACATTTAAATTTTTGCAGATAACAATATCTTGCTATAAATGTTTATTTAATTTCAGCTTTGAATATCACGGGAAGGAGAGAACATTCTTGGAAGAAAATGTTGGTGTGGTGAGAAAAGAAATAGAGGGGGTATTGGGAGCCACACGTTCTGTCCGAGAGCGAGCAGTCGAAATCTACGAGACCGGCAAAGCACATACAATGGGTATAAAATTTTATTTGGGGTGTTTGTGCTTGCTTAATAACTTAACTCCTCATTTTCTGCAACTTGTATACCATACTTAAATTTATTTCACTGTAGTTTATTATTTCCAGATTTGTAGTGCTCAACATGGCATTCACGTCCTAAGTTTTCAGGTTATTCAACTGGCTCGTTTTCATGCAAAAGTGTAAATATGTAATATTTCGGGTATATTTGTACTATGATGTGGCTACCTCCAACCTAAGAGGTCTATTTTCCTGGCCAGCCACATAGAGCTATGACCCGAGAGGAAATTAATGTACCAGAAGAAAAATGTTTTGACATTCTTGTTTTATTTTTGAGATTGGTGAAGCCTAACATGGATACCTGATGGATTAGGATTTCTCATTATAATTACAGAACATCACTTTGATATGTTTGCTCATAATATTGTACTGTATATTCAGTGTAAGGCAGGGGTCTATAAACAGTAAGTCAAAGAGAAATCATGATGTGATGCCAAATGTAAAGCAAATTAAGGGAGAAGTGTTGGTGGTGGTGTGCAGTTTAATCTAGTTCACAGCAAGTCAGCTGACCTTGCTGCTTACATACCAAAATTATATCATATTATACTGGTACACATTTATTTATACTGCACAAGACTATAATATCCAAGATGTTTGATTATTCTCTAATGTATTTATTCTATCCTTTTCTTTAATCTGAGATAAAAATTAATGCAGTACAGTATATGGACAATACTAGATGAAGTGTACCAAGTCATTAAGTAGAACAACAAGTGGTTTTGTTGCATATAGTACCTGTTCCCATTTATCTGTATATGGGGGAAGGAAACACATTCATTCACACCTCTACACTTGAGTGGACTTGTTCCTGAGGATTACGAATGCTATGCTAGACACTGTGTTAATATTTTCTCTCTGTATTTTAATACCCAGTTAAATAGTTCTTTGTATGTTAATCTATTTATTTTTTGTTCATTTACAGTTACAGTATTTACAC